TCAGCTGGGAGGTAAGGCTTTGAGAAGTCACCCAGCCTGAGGGATAGAGTGACAAGTGACGGGGGGGGGCGGGGGGGGGGACTCTGGCAAGAATGCACTCTTGGGCACAGGATTACTCCAGTTAACACTACATCTGTGGAAGCTTCTGGGCCCACTCTTCTGAAGATCCCCTCTTCCAGGAATTCTGGCTCAAATAACTCCACAGGACTTAAGTAACACAGCTCTCCTTAAACCTTTAAGCACAATTCAATTTCTCTGGGATGTTTGGAGCTGGCTCTTTGGTCAAATTTCACTTTGTTTGTAGTGATTCTTCCATGCATCTCCCAAAGTATGGGTGGTGTAGTTTGCTCATAGAAGTTACCAAGTTCCCAGAGGATGAAATGCATCTCATTTCTATCCCTCACCTGACAGGCTTGTACCAGCAGGTTGGAAGGCAGAGGTGCCCAGAATGTCACCCATGAGAGAGGAGTTGGAGAGCGTGCAAAGGGGAGGGGACAGCCCTGCCAGGCCACGCCTCAGAGATATGGTGACAGGCCCAGCAAAAAGACCCAGAGCCCACCAGAGGGGTTGAAGGAGAGAACAGGGCAGGCAGGATGATGGGGCAACATCACTGTCTTCTGGAGCTCTTTAGTCCTGAAGGAACCACACAGGAGGTTCTGCCCTGGGCCCAAGTCGAGGTGAGCATCCGAATGTGAGTGGGACCTTGGCCCCATCTCCTGGCCACAGCCCCCCTCTGCACGCCTCCCTACTCAGCATGGCAGCCCAGATCACTCAGCCCTGCTTCTTGGCACGAACCCTAAATCTGCCTGGTGCCCCAGGGCTGGCAAACAGTCGGAGCGTATGAGGGCCTCTGCAAATCTTTTTCCCAAACTGATGGGGAAGAAGATCCTCTCTTTGCAGCAAAACCTCAAGCCTCCCTGGACTAGAGGCCCTCGCTGCTTCTCTGCACTATGTCTGCAGTGCCAGGCCACCTGCCACTCCTCAGACGGTGACAGCAGGGTGGACCCAGAAGCCCACCCAGTGCGCTCGCATGACCTGTGTGTCCCTGGTCTCCAGCTCTGCAGGCGGGCTCTGGGGTCTGCGCTGGGAGGAGCACAGGCTCTCCCCAGGTCTCTATGGTCCCCTCGCATCTGTCCCCATCCTTGGCCCATCCCAGGCCTGGACCTCCACTTGACCATCCTTCCTGTATTCACTCACTTACTTGCTTGTTGATTGGAAAACCAGTCAGGGGATTCTTAGCCAGTCACGCTGCTGTGCAGCATGGTCCCTCCCTCAGCGTGAGCATCGGCTGAATGGGTACTACTACTAAGCCTCCTAAAGGAAGGGTTGATGCTTCCTCCCTAGACACTGGGGCTCTTGTTTATGAGACCCTGCTCATCACCGTGCTGCAGCTTCATATTCTGAAGAGGCTTGACTTTTGCAAGAAATGCAAATTGAATTAAGTAACATCAAATCTGAGGGAACAGAGAAAGACTCATAGGCATGACTTTCAGGCCACAGCAGGGTGGACTTTCTCAGAAAAAATCTAGCCTAGGAATCAGGGGAAATAATCCCCTTCTACTGTACTTCACTAGGGGTGTGTCCCTGGGTAAGTCACCTCTTCTCTCTGCAGCGCCATTGCCTCATCTATAAAATTAGAGTACAATGGGCCAGAGATTTTTGTACAATAGTTTCTGTCTTAAATATTCCATAGGGCAAAGTTGGACTTTACAAAATAGATGCTGAGTGAAAGGGACAGTAATGAGTGCCCTGGTCCTTCTAGGGGCCTCTGGCCTGGGGCTGAGTTGCTCCAAGAGGGGCTGCACTGCCCCTCCTGTGAGTACTTCCACAGGCACACAGAGGCTGTGCCAGCCCAGTGCCTCTACAGCTGGAAGAACACCACATAAAGAGGGCAGGGGAGGGGCACCACCCAGCAGCCCGCACAACCTCACACCTAGAAAAACTCAGAAGAAAAGGTGCATCCCTTGGCCACTGCCAGTGACAACTCAGGGAAAATGCACTTTCCAGAGCTGCAGGCAGAATTTCCAGAGTGGCATCTTCTTCCTCCTCCCCAGAAGCAGAGTACCAGTTCTCACAACCACATAGAAAAGTCTAATCTCTGTGAGGTGAGGAAAGAAAGCTACGTAGTCCCGGAAATGCCAGTGTGGCATCCTCTCCCCAGATCAGGGTTGAGGATCTTGCAATCAATACAGGTTGAACAGAGTCAGGTCAGAGGAGAAGAAGCAGGGTTCATAGGCACAGCTAGATGTCTAGGAGACACCCATCTGCACAACATCAACTCATGCGACATGTGCATAGCTATCCAGTGGAGACAGATACTCACAATTTTAAAGGATCACATGGTGTGGCCAGGGAGATAGCTCAGTGGACTAAACATCTACTTAGGCAAGTACAGGGGCCAGGGTTTGACCCCTGGCATCACATGCTGCTTCAGCCCCGCCCCCAGGTGCACTGAGCCAGGGATAGAATCTGGGCATGATGGCACACACCTGTAATCCCAGCACTAGAAAGGCTGAAAACAGGAGGATCACTACGAGACTGAGCTGCATAGTGAGACACTGCCAAAAAAAAAAAAAAAAAAAAAAGTCCTTGGTCTTTCCCCCTCATCGACTTTCATATGCTTTCCACTGAGGGCTTCCCCAGAAAATATAAACTATTCAAAGACACGGACCACATCTTGACCTTTTTCTAGTATCCCACCCCACATCCAAGGGCAGGTAGGCTCAGTGGACCTAGGATAGAGGACAACTTGATCCCTGCCTGGGATCAGACTCCTCCATGAACAAATCTACCATTTCTAGAGAGGACTTGGAGCAAAGTGCCCCTGAGAACCATGGGGGTCTTCCACTGGCTTAGAATGACATAAATCCAGTGGAGTGAGGAAATTCTTCAAGGGCGAGGACTCCACTCCAGGGAGTGCCCCCAGCAGAATGCACCGAAGGGTTCTGCTTTAAGGTAAGTGAAAGATGTTCTTCTTGCATCTGTAGTTTCTTAGGGCTCAGGGAGCATGAGCTCATGAGCAATAAAAGAGTGAGTCCTGCGAGACAGGGAGCAAACATTTCACTGCCCTCACACAGTAAAGGACGCACAGGGGCAACAGCCCTGCTCTCTGACTGGGCTGCGCAAGCTGATAGATTATTTATCCCAAGAGGACATCCTGCCAGCAGAGCCAAGGAGGAGCTTGGCTGCAGCCACTTGACTTAATTTCCCTGGGAAGGTGGAAGCTGGGGGAATCCATGACAACAGAGAAGCGTGCGGTGGGAGGCCATGAGGACGGGTGCCTCGCCACAGCCTGGCAAAAGCCTGGGCACACAGGTGTCTCTTCTGGTAATCGCACACAGAGGCAAACCACAGCAGCTGGAGGGAGGGCAGTGATTGCCACAACTGCAGCAACAGGTGAACAGAGAACTGAACTGCCTGTGAGTAATGGGGCCGGTCCTAGGCCACTGGCCCCAGGAGGGGGCTGGGACGGAAGGCCCCATGCCCAGAGCCACCTTGATCCCTTTCGCAAACTTGCTCTAGGACGACCCCTCCTGAACGTACAATTAGGTGTCCCATGCTCTCATTTCCTTTATGGGGGCCTGCCCATTATTAGCTCAGGTGTTTAAGTGCCTGCTGAAACAAAGCAGTCAGGCTCAGGATGCTGTGGCTCGATCCCCTCATCCTCAAGCCAAACCAGACCTGCCCTGAAGGCATCCTGAGCAGCCCTCCCCCCAAAAATCCTTCCTTTAGTCTCTCCATGAATGTGTATACAAAATGTGCCTCTCTATGGTCTAAAGATTCCATCCATTCAAACAGAACTGGACTACCCCATTTTGGGGCATCTGGTGACACTGGAACAGTGAGTGCTGCTCACTGTTCCTGGCTGAAGTCTGAAAAAAGTCCTGTGTGCCGAAAGCAGGTTTGGCTTTGTTCCGTTGGGAAGGTGGAATTACTCACTTCTCTGTCCACACTGAACACAAACTCTAGCTTTAAAGGCACAGAAGGCTGAAAGTGGGACTGTGGCGTTGAGCCTTGGCAAGATGCCCTGCTTTTAGGCAACCTGTCAGTTATAAATAGAATGCCTCTGCCCCCTTCCTTCACACTAGCATGTAGTGAAAACAACACGCCCTGCCTGCACACTGCTCCTGTTTGCTCCTCAGATTGTCTGTTAACAGTTCTTGACTGGAAATCACTTCAGGCACTCAGACACTGGCTTGTCTGAATGTGTCCTACTTAAATTCACAATTCCCAGACACGGATGTAGTGGACCCTCCCTTACCCACAAAGCGACCCCAACACACCTATGTTATTCTACTGGAGGTATAGGATGGACCAGCAGCTCTGCTTGCTGAAGCTGTCAACAACGTGGCTTTCAATTATTCAGCAGAAAAAAGCATCAGCAGGAATCCTCAGAGCTAATTCTAGAGAGAAATACAACCAATGCTGCACCTACCGTAAGGATCTGCCACAACAATGCAGGTCAAAGGAAACAAAGAGGTTTATTCTGAGTTCACTGATGACCAGGGCAGGGTCACAGTCTGTCAAATCAGCCTTTAATGACAACAAGCAAAGCCTTCCCTTCATCCTTGCCATCTTCCAGCATCACGCGATGTTCTCTCCTCGGCTTGGAGCACCAGGCATGACTTTCACACAGGGCTTCATCCCCGTGATAATCAGATTTGTTTTTGAGCATTGGGGAGAGCTGTGTGTTCCAGAGGGTCCAAAATCTGCAGGAAAGGGGGCCAGAAATTGAGCCCTAGGGAACCGCAGTGGGACCATCAGTGGATGCCAGGGTTCCTTACCCTTTTTCTACCTGCCCTTCACACTCCACACTGATGAAGTGTCTAGTACCATAGGCACAACAGTGGGCCACAGGGGGTCTGCATCACACACAGCCTGAGACCAACAGATCCCACCCACCGTCCCCTGGGGCCTCAGAGAGACCCCAGATGTCACCAAGCAAATCTGGACCTCTCCAAGCTTTGTAACCCAGACAAGGCATTTGCTCTAACCCCAAAACCCAGAAACACCAAGTAATAGGTTAATATTTAAAATTTCAAAAACAAAATATTATCTGTAGAAAAACTAACACTTGCCTTAGCCAAGTCAAATTTTATTTCCTGGGAATAAAAATAAAAAGAGTGAATTATCAGAAGTTTTCCTCCAACATCTGTAAAATGCTTTTTTGAAGAAAGTTAAGAGAATTGTTTAAGGCGCACAGAAAAAGTCAGATTTGCCTTTCTTCTGGAACATTCCTGACCTAGCTGCAAAGCACCAGTGTCACATCCCCGAAAAGAGAGGTTTAGAGATACAGAAACCAGAGCAGCCTTGCCTGGGTCTGGATCTCTGAGTATCCCAGGAATACATCAACAGCTCTTTCATCCATAAATTCAGTAATTCAATATATATCTTGAGAATATATCCAAATACGCTCTCTGACTACAGTACAAAAATCTACTCACCAGCCATAAAAATAATATTTTCCCCTATACACAAATATAAGCATATGCAAAGCAACTTGGGAACACATGGAGAAGGCTGCAAAATCCCTTGGGACATGGGCTATTTAAAGTCATTTTTGTTTGGGTTATCCCTCTGCTGGGTATAGGAAACTGGCCACAAACACATCCGTCTCACAGCGCTCACCATTTCAACAGCTCCTACGTCATGGAATTTGGTACTTTTTAAAAATAGGCGACCCTTGGTGTCATGGAAACAAGAGGAGAGATGAGAGGGCTGGAGGAAGGGTAGGACAGAAGGAGAGAGACAGACTTCAGCAAAAAGGTGGGCTTGGAATACTCTACGGTGTCAAGTGAGTCCCTGGGCTCAGGAGGCCACCCCTGCTCCCACCCTACTGCCACAAGTCTGCCTGGCACTCCTTTCACAAGTCCGTTTCCCGGCTGCTGTCCAGGCAGAGTGCATACAGGGACCGCCGTAAATCCACGTTGCTCTTGGCCTTGAGGTTATATTTCTCCAGGGGGCAGCTGGCCCTGCGGGCACTGTCTGAGCGCTCCAGGGATGCCCCGGGTTTGCAGAGGGAAGGCTTGCTCCAGCTGGCCTTGCGCTGGCCTCCTGCATCCAGTCCAGATGCCCGGCTCTGGCTGCCTTGCTCTTCCTTCAGGGCCACCTGCTCCTCCTGCTCCGTTTCCCGGTGGTAGAAGTAGTTGAAGTTGGAGACGATGACGGGAACAGGAAGGGCAATGGTGAGGACCCCAGCGATGGCACACAGGGAGCCCACAATCTTGCCCCCCACAGTGATGGGCCTCATGTCTCCATAGCCCACAGTGGTCATAGTCACCACCGCCCACCAGAAAGCATCCGGGATGCTGGAGAAGTGAGTCCCCTGGTTGTCAGCCTCGGCAAAGTAGACGGCGCTGGAGAAGAGGATGACCCCGATGAAGAGGAAGAAGATGAGCAGCCCCAGCTCCCGCATGGAGGCCTGCAAGGTCTTGCCCAGGATCTGCAGCCCCTTGGAGTGGCGGGAGAGCTTGAAGATGCGGAACACCCGGACCAGGCGGATCACCCTGAGGATGGCCAGGGACATGGCCTGCTGCCCGTTCTGGCCACCCCCTACTCCACCCCCTGGCTCTTGCTCTGCCAGTTCAGTGCCAAGGGTGATGAAGTAGGGAAAGATGGCCACAATGTCTATGATGTTCATGATGTTCCGGGAGAACTCGGCCTTGCTGGGGCAGGCAAAGAAGCGCACAAGCAGCTCAAAGGTGAACCAGATGACACACGTGGTCTCCACAATGAAGAAAGGGTCTGCCAGGGTTCTGGGCAGAAGGGGTGCCACGGTGGGGCCGTAGATCGGTGCCACAGCCCTGCTGCCGTTGACCCCAGGGGCAGACACAGGAGGCTGGTGGGGAACTGGGGGCTGGCGGAGCAGCTCTCTCTCATCCCGGAACTCGGGCAGGGTCTCCAGACAGAAGGTGACGATGGAGATGAGGATGACCAAGACGGAGACGATGGCGATGGCTCGCGCAGACCCTGAGCTCTCAGGATACTCAAAGATGAGCCACACCTGGCGCTGGAACTCATTTCGGGGAAGTGGTTTCTCCTCTTCTTTAAGGAAGCCCTCATCCTCCCGGAAGCGCTCCAAGGCCTCCTCCCCCAACTGGTAGAAACGGATCTCATCCATGAACACGTCCATGGAGACATTGACCGGCCTGCGCAGGCGGCCCCCCGACTGGTAATAGTACAGGATGGCGTCGAAGCTGGGCCGGTTCCGGTCGAAGAAGTACTCGTTGCGTAGTGGGTCAAAGTAGCGCAGGCGCTTGGCTGGGTCCCCCAGGAGTGTGTTGGGGAACTGCGCCAGGGTGCCCAGCTGCGTCTCGAAGCGCAGCCCGGAGATGTTGATGAAGACGCGCTGGTGGTGCAGGGCCCCCGTGTCCAGCGCCTGGTCCTCCAGCACGCCCAGGACGGGGCTGCCTTCTCCGTCCTCCTCCTCATCTTCTGGAGACCGCTGTCCAGGCTGCGGCAGCTCCGGGGGCAGCGGAGGAAGCCGGGGCAGCGGCTGCGCGCCTGGGTCTGCGCCCCTCGTTGCGTCCCTGGGCCCCGGCTCCTGGGGTGAATCGTCCAGCGCAGCCGTCGGGGGACACGGAAGTGCTCCCGCCGTGGTCTGCCCACAGCCTGCCGGGGCCTCACCCGTTCCTCGAACAGTCATGGCCCCGCCGTTCTCCAGGAGCACCAGGGCGATCTCCATGGTCCGGGGGCCGAGGGCATACTGCACCCCGCGGGCTCCGCGCCCCACACTCTCTGCTCCTCTCCCTCTACCACTGGTCTGAGTCGGGCGGGCAAGGGCTGCTGGCACGCTGGGTCCTGACGTCAGGCTGCTGCCGCCTTGGTCTCTGCCTCTCCGAGTTCTGGCAGCCGTTACCAAGCAGCCAAAAAACCTCCTTCCCGCAGATGCAACCTTCAGCTGCCCCTCCAGCGCCGCACGGCCTCCGCCCACCTCGCCTCGCGTCTCCGCCTCCTCGTTTCCCCTCCCGGGTGCGGCGCGGGTATCTCCAGGGAGGGCGCAGCTGGCGCGCAGGACCTAGGAAGGGAAAGGCCCCGAAGGCTGTGGTCCAGCCAAACGAGCGAGGGAGGGAGCCGCGAGGAGAGAGGAACAGGTTATACCTGGTTTGCTGAACCTCCCAGGGCAACCAGATGAGCCCGGGGCTGGGTTTTCAGATCACCTGGGAATCCGCTGAAAGCCACAGACTCCAGGGAGAGCAAATTGCCTGCGCTGCAGGGAGGAGGCTTTGAACTGAGTCAGAGCCTGAGAGGCACTGGCAACAGCCCTTTGGACACTTTTTCTTTGGAGAGATAAAGCTATCTCTGCTTCTTCGGGAAGAATTACAAGGGTAGAGTAGGGAGGACCAATGGGATGTGTATAAGGATTAATTTGGGTCATTTGCAGGAAACGATGGATCTTGAGATCATAATCCTAATAAGGGAAATAAGTCAGACCGGGCATATGCATCACATCGTTTCTCTAATACGCAAACTAACTGAGAGATGGTAGGACATGGAGATGGATTTTGTGGCAACAGAAAGGATTTTGGGGAAAGCGAGACAGGGAGGGCAACAAGGGAAGATGCGGGAGGGAGTAGAAATGACCAAGATTTATTATGTGTGTACTATCAGCCCCATGAGGAATATAAGTATGCATCACAAACATATACTAATGACAATATTACAATTATATTTTGTACTCTAATATTGCTATAGAAAAAAAATATACTAATCCTAGATAGAAAAGAAATATATGTATGGAAGGAGAGAAGGGGAGAGGGAGAGATGGAGAGAAAGACAGAAACATCTTCTTCCCTTCTTTCTACAAACCCTCCAGAAGTACCGGGGCTGAAACCCTGCAGCAACCCCCTGCCCTTGACCTGGGAAAGCTCCTGATCCCAGCCAGGGACAGCTCTGGCCAGGGGCAGCTCCAGCCACGCCCCTGTGGATGCGCTGCTGTCTGGTGTCATAACCCCCAGACCCAGGACACCTTACTCACCGAATTCCATTTTCAAGATCCCTCACAGGAATGGGGAAGAGGAATTTAAGAATCCTGCTGAGGGCTGATCTTCCTAGTGAAGCCTGGCACTGGCAACAGCAGGGAAGTTTGTGTATGGAGTTGGGGTGGAGAGGTGGCTTATGGGAGGGATTTTATTTTGTTTTGTGTGTACCAGCCCATTTCTAGGGCTTTCCAAATGTTGTCTTGTGTATTCCTACAGCAACCTATTTCATAGAGGCTGTTATTACTCCCATCTTATAACGAGAAAACTAAAGCACAGAGAGTTTGACTAATTTGGCTCAGGTAACACAAGGAAAAAGGACCAAAGCTGGGTTCCACACCAAGCTCTCAGGGGAAGGCCTCGCTCCCTGACATTCCTCCCTGCCCTAGAAATTCTCAGTCCCCTGTCTAGTTGTAAGTGCCACTCCTTCACCCCAACGTCAAGCCTGAGAACATCAGTTTCCTACTGCAGGAGCTGAGATAACATATTGCTCTTTTGCCCCAGAAGGGGGAATATCTGCCCTGCCCCTACTCCTGCTCTTGCCCTTGCCCTGACAGGGTTTTTGAGAGTACCAAAACCAAGGGAAATGGCTTCTAAGGCAAGTCTGACAGCAGCAGACAGCTTCCGTTGTTTTCCCTTAGTATTGAATTGCCATAAGTGGCTGTATTTTTGGAGGTCTGATTGTATTGTCTATTCTTGTCCCTCAATGTGCTTAGGATTTACGTATGTGGATGTTATGGTCTCTCATGCATGAACGGACCCACCCATGAGTGATGACCAAGGTGCTAGCACCGGGGGCCCAAGTGTTTGCCGGAGTAACAATATGCAGGCATAGGAGCATGTCAGGGTTGGAGAAGTACGTGCGCAGGCTGCTTTTAGAGGCCGTGCAGGTAGGACTGCTGTGAACTCAGTGCCGGTAAGTGTTTTCATTGTGTGTCGCTTTGTGACATGGTTGGCTGTCTCGTGGATGAGCAGAAATGAGGAAGGAGCATGAATATTAAAGTCAGTTTGGAAAGGCCTCACGGGCCAACTTCAGGGGTTCATACCCCTCCTCCCCAGCACTCTTGCTTTCCCACCTCTGCTCCGTTCTTACCACACTTTGTCTTTGTTTTGCTTTGGTTTGGTTTTTGCACGCTGGGGTTAGGGGAGAACTTAGGGTGCATGCATGCTGGACAGACAAGTGCTGCCCGCTGAGTCCACTCCCAGCCCCTTCATCTTTAGTGGCACCGAGATTCTCCTTAGGCTTGGTTCATCCCTGCTGACCTGGTGGGTGAGATCAGAGACCCTTATTGGCAGGCCTGTTTACTGGTGCAGGAACTTTGTAGCACAAGGTGCTGTGTTAGTTCCCATGAGCTCTCCTGGGGAGTTCTCCGAGCTTGTTTCCCAAGAACGCTTGGGAGGACTGCTCCCTGAAGAGCAGAAAGAGGACATAAACAGTCCTAGAAAAGCACAGATACTCGGCCTTTTTCAAGGTGGTATTTCCTCAAGTCTGCTTCCCAAGACCTGTGCTCTCACAGGTTTCTTGCAAAATTACCTTCAGAGGTCACCTGTGACAGCCATGGAGATAAACTGTTTGGTTCTCCCTTGAAGAAAGAAGCTGGTTCTCAGCTGCAAGAATGCCCCTAGCTGACAGCCTCCACTGACCCCAGATTGGGGCTCCACTGCCCCTTTCCTGCAGAGAAATCCTCCGTAAGGTTTCTGTCACAGCCTGAGACTCTCCCTGTCTGGCCCTTTTACTCTCTTTCCATTCACAAGTGTCAGATAAGCACTGTGTTTTGAATGCTTTCCTGCAAGAGTTTGGCTTTCTTTCCCTTTTGTCTTTTATCATCTTCCAATAACCCCATGGCATTCCCTCCATCTGTGTCTTCCTCCCAGAGAACATGGCACAGAGCCAAGGCCTGCCGTCCTCTCTCCCCACCTGGTACTAGGCGCCATTGAAGCAGTGCCTGCTTGGGGTACCATCACCCAATACATGAAAATGAGGACCTGATTTGGCTCGGGTCTTGGATTGCCTTCCAACAAGTTTCCAGGTAAAGCTGCGCAGCATGCTTATCTCAGACAAGCTCCAAAGCTTCCTTTCAAGGAAGCATTTGCCTCACCCGCATAAGTCCCCAGAATGTGACATGTGAAAACAACTGAGAGGTCTTCTCACAACGCATAGGACGGGTGCTGACTGAGCACAGGAGAACCTAGAGTATAGAGCCAGTGAAAGAGAGAGAGAGAGAGAGAGAGAGAGAGAGAGAGAGAGAGAGAGAGAGAGAGAATGTCTAAGGGGAGGGAAAGGAGGTAGAACAGGAGGAGGAGAAGGAGGAGGAGGAAAATCTTACATGTGAGCTGTACTGATTGACTCACAAATATTTACGAGTACCATAGGACAGGCCACTGCTCCAGGGCATTGTTAATGGATGGAGGACAATTATAAAGTTAGATGTATTTCCTAACTTCTTAGTGCTGTATCCTGGGAAAAGCCAAAGACACTGAGCATTCAGTTTTGATGCCAATTTTGAGAATATAGGGCCCTGGGAAATGTGGCGAGTCTGGCTCCTCCTGGAATGCAGGGAGCTTCTCTGAGTGATGATGAAAGAGACAAACTATTTCACCTGGAAGGAAGAGTCTGCTCCAGGCAGAGGAGGGGGGCATGGGGCTGGTGTGAAGGACAGGGTTCATGGAGTCCACACACAGCCCTGATGGAGAGTTGGTGGCTCTGGGCCAGCGAGGGCAATAAAAGCCGGGTTTGGAGGAGCTTGCTGGGATGGTGCTCCGTGATGTCCCAGCAAGCTGTGACTGCGGCAATTCCCTTCCGTGCTCACAAACTTCATGTGTCTCCTAAAGCAGAAGCCCCAGTGTACTCCTCTGGACTTTCTCTTGCATGTTTCAGTCCCTTCTCTCTTCCACTTCCATCTTAATATATCTTTGTCTTTATCTTTATGGTGTCCATGTGCACCTAGCTAGCTGTGTATTCCATCTAGAAGGGTTTCTGCCACACTTTTTATCTATCAACAGTCTGTCAGTCTACCTACTCACCTGTGTGTCATCCTTTTATACACTGACAGGGAGGTGGGCGAATAGATTATAGATACAGAAAAAGAGAGAGAGAAAAATCTTGGAATCAAGGATCATTTTTTACTCATCCCTCATTTTTCATACAACACTAAACATGTTGCTAGGTACATAGGGTCCCCTCTGTCTGTCTGTCTGTCTGTCTGTCTGTCTGTCTGTCCCTCACCCTTGGAATTGAACCCAGAACCTTTGCACTGATCTTTATCTTCAGCCCTCCTTATTTTTTTTTATTTTGAGACAGGATCTCACTAAGTTGCCCAAGTAGAATTGCAACTTGGGATCCTCCTACCTCAGCCTCCCATAGTGCCTGGATTACAGGCAATGTGGACACCATCCTAAGCTCACATTATACATTGTAAAGAATGTAGTTAAACTAAGAAAAAGGAATTCAGCTGCTGGGGCAAGAAGGAAGGGGACACTGAGAGACAAGAACAAGAGGCTACTTCCAAGACAGACTGTCAAAGTGAAGGGCACACCAAACGGGAAATGCTAACACCCCTCTGCGGGACCAAGAGGGCCAAGTGGGGAATTAAATTTTCTCGGTCCCTTTGTTTAGGTTAAATATCACTGCACAGTCTATGACTGCACAACCTTATCAGCTTTGTGGACAAGAACAACAATTTAGCATATTGGATCGTGCAATTTAATTCCCACTGCTGGAGACCTAAAGTTGCTATAGC